GACTTAAGACGAAGTTGGATAATTCAGTTATCGAAGATAGTTAATAAATATGGATTTTCTATTAAACTGGTTATGGATCGTAATTATGATATAGAGCAATATAGTAAAGAAATAATACATAGAGTTATGGAATACTCTATTATCCAAGACGTGGAAGATATACGAAAACGAGAAAATACAAGCTGGTATGCAACAATTTTAAATTATCCTGTAAATAACAACTATATATTGACAAATCTAGCTTTTAACATCAAAAAGTTTTTTATACAGCTTAGGCTAAATAAATACGGAATAATTATAAATGATAAATATATAGACTATACCCAATCTAAATGTCCAAATTGTACCAAAATTTTATCTAGAGTTCATATTATATGTGAATGCTGTAATGAAAAGGATAAACTACAAAGGCTCCAGATGGGACCGCTGGCTAACTGTAATAATGAGATGGAAATGTATAAGACTTTTGACAGAGCTAATACTAACACGATTTATATGTAATATAACTATGTTAAACAATTTATTAAATGATAATTGTGACAAAATATTAATGTAATTCTATAGATCTGTAAATAGAATATATCAATGTTGTTAAGATGTGATTATGTAAGATGTTAATATGCGTTTTTAAAATCAAACACCCTTGTAACAGGCGAAAGCCTTTTATGCCAAATAAAGAATATTATTATTATTAAAACTCTCCATATCTTGCTGTTATTTATTCCTTTGTCATAGCTAAAATATTTCAGCAAAATCTCATAGTTTAGGTTATAATAAACAGTCTTGTAAAAAAAATTTTGCTTTTATAATGCTAATCTAATTTTACCTGGTAATGTGTTTTAAAAACTTTTTTCGTGTTTTTCATAGTTTTTAACCAATGACTAACCAAAACCTTTAAAGCATTAACAAAGCTATAGATTACAAATATAAATTATATTTGTAAAGTGTATTTTTGTACTTTTTTATTATTTGGTAATAATGACAACTGTGACCAGAACATATTAGATTTGAAATATAAATTAGCATAGAGTTTTGCCATTATATAAATGTATGCTACATTTACAAAAAATTTATTTTATTGTTAATGTTTTTATCTGTTCTAATATGCATATGAATTCACATTAATCTGTTATTTTTATTTATGCCATCATCAGATTCATTAATCATTCCATATTTTACTTATATTGAATCAATATAAGTATTTAGATCAATGTTTCAAGAATTTTCTGTAATTGAAACTAGTCTACAAAGACCAAAAACATTTTTACAAAATGGTGTCAAGAAATTTAAAGAACATAATTTTTGTTATTTATAGAGAGAAATGCAGGAACCTTCAGCTGTAACTACTCAAAATATCACAGTTGTACCTCAGACTATACCTTTATATCAGGATACATCCCATCATATAATTGGACAATGTGCAGATGTACCTGAAGAGCAAATAACATCTAGCCAAGGTGTGGTGAATAGAGTTCCAACTGCTCAACCTGTATTGGATCCTCAGGCTCAGGCACAGTTTGAAGCTGATAAAAGAGCGGTGTATAAGTAAGTGATAACTTTTTATTTTTTGTGTAGCTTACAGATTTAATTACAAATTTATTAAGTCTACGTCAGAAAATTCAATTCAAATTAGAATAACTGCTCAAAAATATTTTTCAATTATGTTGGCTACTTTAAATGTAATATTTATATATTTCTGTTAATTTATTTTCAAGAATATTTTATGGAATATATTTTTTATTTNCACACAATTTTAAAGTTTAGCTAAGAAAGTTATGCAACTTTTGGCTAGATTTTTTTTACAATAAATTTGATGCAATGTAAATAACCAAAAAACAATGGGGTTTTTTTGTATTATTTTTAAGATAGAAATTTGGCTTAGAAACAGGTGTTTGTAATTTTTATTAAATAGCATATTTTATTTTATTCATCAAAATTAATTAATCATTTTAGAAACAAAGAAGAATAGATTGACTTAGTAAGATTTTAAGCTCCAAACTTCTTTAAACTGACTAAACCTGCTGAAAAGTATATAAAATTTAGAATTATGTACATCAGTTCTGATTATACATGTTTTTTTTTTCTTTTACAAAATTTTGATTTAACATGGTTGATTTTTAAACCAGAGAAAATTTATTGAAATTTATTAAATGAAAACAAATGTAAAAAAAAGTTAATTTTTTAATGATTTGTTTTGATTTAACAAATTTTAATAAATTTTCTCCTTTTTAAAAATTTTTATTTCATTTTAATTCTAAGAAAAATATTAATACTTCCTTGGAATGCAAGTTCTAAGAATTGCTTTAAAAAAGAAAGTAAAAATTTTTTAACAGTTGTTTTAAAAACAACTCTCAGAACTTGCATTTAAACTTGCTATACATCCAAGCAAATTTTTTAAGATTAACTGTTTTTTACAACTTATCTGAATTCATGTGACAACAGTGGGTGTGTTTAGAAATCCAATGACATAGTCTGTTTTATATGAAAGCTGCTTGCCACCTATCTGTTGGTACTCTCGACGCAAACCAATTTGACCCACTAGAGGGACCTTCCCAATAACCAAAAAATGTTTTATGACCCTTTGTCTTCACTTGTTCCTTTGTTCAGACTACTATCTGTCAACACATACAGACGTTTGTCCTACTGTTATGTAAAGATTCATTTGTACATTAATTCCTTGATTAAACGAAGATACCTTAACCCAGGGGCGCCGCTAGCTGTTTGAACGCCCATGTGCAATACCGATTATGCCGCCCCCTGTTTAACTACGATTACCTATGCTGAGCTTGCCAGAAAAGCTCTTTGCCGCCCCCTGGACGTGCCGCCCGCGTGCGGTGCACGCCTTGCACGCCCGCTTACGGCGGCCCTGCCTTAACCAATACAATGTGTTTCGTCTGAGTGTCTCTCCACTGATTCCAGATTAACGACACTATCTTGCCCAATTAGTGTTTCATTCAGAGTTACCCATGATTGAAGCAGTCAGGAAAAATTAATTTGAAGTTTGATGATTTGTTTTATGATTGATTTTTTTTTTTTCTTCCTCTTTCAATACAAAATAATTTTTGTATGCTATTTGGTGTTAAAAGCTAGAAATATTTTTGTATTTTAAAAATAATTAAACTAGTNATATGAAACTAATGTTCTATTTTTTCATAAGGACAGTACATTTTTTACACAGATTTTTTTTAGGAACAGAATTGGATGTATAGCCATTTCTGAAATTATTAATTAAATTAGAATACTTGAGATGTCGACTTTAACTACTATCAGGTTAAACTTTCAGCCTAAAAATAATGTAAAAATATCCAGTAGTATTCGTTTATGTACAGTACTTTAAAATACAAATAAATAAATGAAGTGAATTTTGGGTTTAATTTATATATATTAATGCAACATAGTTTCCTACAATTTACATATCTACATTACTGTATTTAGAACTGAATTTACATCCATGTTATATTAAAGAAATTGGACAAAATTTCTTGATTTTCTTTTGTTTTTTTATTTATGAAGTCATTTAAAAATTACAGATAAAAGGTCAAAATCTTTTAGTTATTGATATATAATTTTTCTTTTCTGTTTAATTTCACATTGAAGTGATGACGATTTAAGACATCAGATTCTCGATACATCCACTTTATTCAGTACCATATGTTTTGTATATTTGTTTGCCAGTACATGTGTTGGGTTTCCACTCTTTTTCTGTTGGCATGATGCACAGCTTGTACAATCAATTTGCTTCTTGTTTTTTACATTAAAATCTATCTTCAGTTTGCCAATATCCTTTACAACATTCCTTTATTTTAATAACAAGTTCATATTGAAATTTCAACAAAAGAAAATAATTTTTCCATGTTCATTTAATTAAAATTTGTTAAAATAAAACTTATTTTTCTTTTGATTATTGTAAAAGCAATCTGTATTGTATTTTTATACAAGTTACATCAAGCTATTATAGAAAACAAATGTTAGAAATTATTTTTTCAAAATGACATTTCTGAGATGGTAAAGATTTTGGCAAGTAATTGCCAATTTCATTATTATTTAACTCTCCATATCTGATAGGGGCGAGTTTAGCCTGCAGAGGTGTTGGTGACTTTTTTGCTGAGCTGTTGTGGCGACATTAAACATGGAATTTTTACAACAGAATATTAAGTGTAGAACTGAAATAAGTGGTTTAAATGTTTCATTAACTCAAATAATAATTTTTATTTTACTAATGATTGCTGGCATTGAGAATTCCACATGGACCTTTAAATCCAGGACCTTTTCCTCGATCTCCTCCAATACCAAGTCAAGCAGTTATGCAAAAAAGGGGACGAGGAAGACCACGTAGAGAGCATACAAGAGATATAGAAGAAAATACTCAGACAAGCGAAATGTCAGGAGATGAATACTTAATTGAGGAACATTCCAAGAATACTATTGATATCTCGAGGTATGCTACAATTAAAGACTTTTTTGAACCGGCAGAAGATCTTCCATTAACAAGTACTACTGAACCTGAATACTCACTTAAATCAGTCTATGAATTGATCCAAGATAAATTTGATCATCTGAACTTCGAAGTCCATTCCTTGAGAGCTGAAATTAACCGTATGAATGAAGAAAATTTAAAGATAAAGGAAGAGATGAAAGACATGTGCAAAAAACTACGTATATTAGAAGAAAGAACAGATTCCCATAGCATGCTAAAAAGTATGGTGGATTTAGAAATTGATAAAATGTTAAACGAGACGACTAAGAAGAATCTAATAATATTTAATTTTCCATTCAAAACTTCGGAATATGTAGAAGAGTTGAAAAAATTTATAAAAGAAAACTTAGAACCTAATTGTATGGAAATTGAGGGTCTTATTCAATTAGGAAATAGAAAAAATAACCAAGTATTTAAGGTTATGACCAAATTGGTGAAAGATAGAAACTTAATTCTTAGTAAATTCTGGACCACAAGATTGAAAATGATAAATGAAAAGAAAAAAATAATAATATCAATGGACTTATGCTCGAGATCTAGGATCAGGAGAAAGTTACTATTAAAAAATATTAAACTAGAGAAATCGGATGATAACAAGATAAAAATAAGAGATGATTACTTTTAAAAGATAATGCAATGTATACATAAGATTTGAACACTAGAGAAATAATTCAGCTTAATCATTTTTTAGAGACAAACATAATATAAGATTAGCTAAAATAAATCAAAATTTAAAAACAATACAGGAAAAAGGGAGAATGATTAATAATATGGAGAATAATAATAGAAAAATGAGTGATGATAATTTGATAGTCAAAGATAATGAGTTGAATGAGAAAAAAGTAGAAATTCCAAAAAGAGAAAAAAATAATGTGACAATTAGCTTTTGGAATATTCAAGGATTAAGAGGGAAATTATTCAAAACCTCAATGAGAAAATTCTTGAACTCAAATGAAATAATTGGATTTTTAGAAACCTGGATTCTAAAATTTAGTGATATGGAAATAAAATATCTAGAACAAGACAATAGCGTAATAATTAGCCATGCTCAATGTAAAAATAGGTTTGCCATGTGGAATTCTGTTACTTATTAAGAAGAGATTAGGTGAAATAATTCTTCAATATACATTGGATTATATCATTGCTATTATAATAAAATTAGAGAATAAAATCAAAATGACATGGTCTTACACATATTTGGGAGTGGTAGTAATATATATATACCACCCTCTATTGAGAAGAAACCAATTTTAAATGAAGTGCAAAAAATTTTGGATATATGGTCTAGCCTGACACAACTATGGATAATAGGAGGTGATCTAAACACACGTATTAGCGAAGTCACTGATACCATATTTTTTCAGACGTTCGAAAATATAGCCAATAAGAGAATATCCAAAGATAAAGTATTAAACACAGAGGGGAAAATACTTCTAGATTTTGTTCATAATAACCAATTAATAATTCTGAACGGTAGGATGAGGGGAGATACCCCTGCAGAAATTACCTTTGTTTCCCCAAACGGGCAGGTATGCAAAAAAGGGGACGAGGAAGACCACGTAGAGAGTATACAAGAGATATAGAGGAAAATACTCAGACAAGCGAAATGTCAGGAGAAGAATACTTAATTGAGGAACAATCCAAGAACAACACTGATATCTCAAGGTATGGTACAATAAAAGATTTTTTTGAACCGGAAGAAGATTTACGAACAAAGACTGTTGAACCTGAATACTCACTGAAATCAGTT